CTGCCACGTAGTAGCGTGGGTAGCGCTCTGACTGGGTCATCTCGGCTTGGGTTGGAGCCCTGATTTCTCTACTTGTTAGCTGTATGGTTTGGGGCAACTACATGACCTCTCTTAGCTTCATTTTCCTTATCTGGATAGGTAATAATATTTCCTACCTTATAGGGTCATCCCTAAGATCAGATAAGAAAAAATATGTAATTTGCTTAACTCAGAGTGCCTCGTACTTAATGAAGGTTCTTTTTCTTTCTTTCTTTCTGTGTGTGTGTGTGTGTGTGTGTGTAAATTGTTATATCCAGGAGTGTTATTATTGTCAATAAAGTGGAGATTCTGCCTCATACAGTTGACTTGGAAATAATGAAACAAATTGTACCTGGCACATTATTGCAGAAAGCAATTTGTAAGGAATAACTACTATTATTTTGCTTGTGTTTATCATCTGAGATACCTGGATTTAAGATAGTGTGGGTGCAAGCTGTTCTGCATGTTTTTGTCCTGCATCGTATTGGGACATGAATTCTATCTTTCATTTCTTACTTACATACAGTATCCTTCATCTGACCTTGCTGTGACTTATACTGCCCTTGATCTGGATTTCCTTTCTTAACTGCCTGTTCATTAACTCAGCAGCATTATACATCAAGTCGAAACTTCTTTAGTAGCTATAATATTTTAAACATGAGAGAATGAGATCTGAATTTTTGTGACTATTGCTACTAGTGCTTTAATTAATATCAAGATAAGGATTAAATGAATTAATGCATGGAAACGAGCTAATGCTGTCTTAACACCTAGGACAGATTTTAAGTACTCAAAAGTTAGCTATTTTTTGTTAGTTATCGAAGTTAGCATCTTCCAGATTTAGGAACTTTTTGAATTTTAGCCTCTGGAATATCCTAAAGTTCAGAACATATCCTGGGTCAGTTCTTCTCGAAGCATGATTTGTGGTCTCCTTAATTCATTTATCAAATCCCAGTCTGGGCTTTCATGGTGGCCTAGGGGTCTCAGCACTATCACCTCTGCGGCCTAGGTTCAATCCCAGACCTGGGAGCTGACCCACATAGGGTACAGCTGACCTCTCCTGTCTCCCCGCTGCTCCCCTCAACAGTATATTTCAGTAGATTCACCTGTTCTGCTCCCCACTCTGTCTCTGGTGAATCCTCTCACATATACCCCCAGTACCCACACCTCTGGCCTATACCCCAGTTCTTCTATGCAAAAATAAATAAACTTAAATTTTTTTTTAAATCCCAATTCTTGAGTTTCTTTCTTTATAATATTCTTTGTGATAAAATGGGAAGTGACATAAAAGATTGCTGTTGAAAGCAAAGACACAGACTTTGTAGAGATGCCCTCATATGATTGAGTTAGAAGCAGAACTAGCCACTTTTTAAATGGAATAGCATTTTTATTTTTAACTGATAAACTGTGATCCTTCAGGTGTGTGTATTTATCAGACATTTTCTTGAAAATGAAATGAGCCTGCCATTTCAGAGAAAACAGCTGACACTATTTGCCAGTAAGCAGTAAGATCTGAGTTTTCAAATAAGAGTTTTGAACATGTTGAGCAGACACTCTGCTTGACAGCTCTGTGCACATACAAGCTTTTCTCTACGACCGGAGTTCATATCAGTGAATGTAGCTTTTAAAAAATACTGTATACAAGGCCCTCCCCTGGTGGCGCAGTGGTTGAGCACTGGGCTTCGAGGCTGCCCGCAGCCTCTACAGCGCTGGTACGTTCCCCGGCCGCCGGCGAGGGTCCCACCAAAAAAAAAAAAAAAAAATACTGTATACGAGACTGTGTGGAGATTTGGAAGACCTGTAAAACTCAGTGAGCTGATACTACCCATCTAACCAGTGTATGACATTACAAAATTATGTCTGGGCAGAAGATCACGTCATAGGTTAAAACAAGGAATCAGTTTTGATGTAAAAGAGTCCGAAAGATGATTGATAAGGTTTCAGGTTCACATTGTGTGGAATCCCGTACGAAAGTACCGCCGGTTGAGAGCGGGTGTCACATTTGGACGGGCCCAGGGGGTCTCCTGTGAACCTGCTTCTTGTCTTGTACCTTCAGCTCCTGCTGTGACGCTTGCTCACAGTTGCGTCCAGTCCTCCCTGGTGGGCATCGTTGCTCCCCCTCTCTCTGTCTGGGACCTGGAAAGCACTACTGTCGTGTATGCCATGTTGGGAGTCCTTGGATCCGGCAGCTCATGTCCGCTTACCCTGGATCCTCATCTTGCTCAAAAAATAACTTGCTGGTGTCTTTTTGCTTTGAAACTCTAATATTGAAAAGTTGCATATGAACATGGATGGCACTGGAAGGGATCATGCTCAGCGAAATAAGCCAAAAAGAAAAAGAAAAATACCGGATGGTCTCACTCATAGCAGGAATCTAGAAAACTTAAATAAGGGACCAGGAAAATGAATATAAGAAAGTGAAAATCAAAATCAACAAAAAACTATGAACCAGAGACACTTTTTGGGGGGTGGGGGGCGGGAGGGGAAGGATTGGGGTCAGAATGGGGCGTTTGCAATTGTATGGGGGAATATAAAAATAAAATTTAATATTTAAAAAAAAAAAAGAAAAGTTGCATATGATTCAGAAATGTTTTTGTAGTAAAAACTGATTTTTAAGTAAAGTTTTTCAAAGGTTCTTTGTTTTATGCTTTTTAACCTGCTTTCCTTATTATTACTCCTTGCCACATAAACATGAAAGAGAGAGGGAGTTTCCAATTTAGGCTCTTGCGATACCCCAGTATAATGGTTGCCAATATTTAATCACCAATTTTCATACAAATAAGTGGAATATAAGTAGTATCCATCGGTAATGTATTTGGGGGATTTTATTATTGTGACACAATTTTTGAACTAAATGTAATATTGGCTTATTAAAATATTACGAGAAAAAGTGTCCCATAAAATGAGTAAGTGAAAAAATACGTTACAATAAGGATGAACCAAGAATGTTTATCTTGGAGTCCTCACAGACTTGGCAGCGATGGGAAATGCTTTCACAACCACCTGCCTGACAACCTGGCCAGCGCCTGCCTCAAAGCACCCATGAGCCTGGTCGTGGGGACAAGTCACTGAAGGACTGTGGTTGAAACTTTCGGAGGTGATGTGTTCGGCTAAACCTGCTTATAGGCAGAAAAACATTGACAAAGTATTTAGAAATACAGTAGAGCGCTTTTGGCGGCAGAATTTGCTCAGAGCTAGTTACAAAACAGAAAGGGCCGGGTTGGACAGGAAATGGCTAGTAATACTGACTGCTCATGATTAAAATAGCCTCCTGGCTTTGACTCCTCCACATGCTCCTAAAGCGGCTTCTAATTCCAGCACAAACCTACTGGAATAGTCCATCGTTAGCTACCTTTTTCCAGCTTGACCCATGACTTGTGTGCGAAAGCCTGTGCTTCCCTCTCGTAAGTGCCCCCACCACCCCCCAACGTTCCTCCTGCCCCTTCAGCCTGCCCCTCTTGTAGGGTTTTGGTCCCACCTGGGAAGCCCTCTGTTTTGCCCTACTTTTGTGTCTTTTTGGAACATAGCCCCTTCAGGGCCTGTCTCCTCTAGAAGCCTGCCTACATCTCTCCCCAGAGCACCTTTGCACTCTGTCCTGCAGTCCCTCCTGCGAGTACAGTGGTTGAGCCTGCCCTGCTGTCCCCAGGTAGAGGGGTGTAAGCCCCCCACTTCTCTTTTTTTCTTGATCATTCTTCATCCTTCCTTTGTCACATCTCTGCCCACCTTGCCAAAATGGGGGGCAAAAGAACGTTCAAAAGAATGTGCTGGTTCAAGGGCCCTGGAGGAAAGAATCATTTTCCAAAATCCATTTCAACAACTTGAGACTTAATGATGGGATTATCAGGTCTTTGGGAGACAAATAAGTCCGTATCCTCTTGGGTCGCTTGCCGCTTTGTTCCAGTGTAATGACTGAGGGAGCGGTTCTCACTGCGCACCAGCGCTCCAGCACTGGTGACCCTCCAGAGACTCCTCACCGCAGCCCGACAGAGACTTACCACTGGGCATGGGCAGGTTTTCTCGAGGTCCTATTGTGATTCAGACGTGGGCAGCAGATCTGGGAGACGTGTGCTCCTGGCGAGCAGGGCCTGTATTTTGTCCACACGTGCTGCCAGCCAGTGCCCTGTGAGAGGCCTGGTGCAGAAAGGGCATTCAGCAAATACTTTGTGAGGAAAGAGGGAGACTCCCCACATTTCTGGGGTTTTGTGGCGTGAAATGTGGAGAAGAGCAGGAGTGGACTTCATGGAAGTAGGATGCTCGGGATTTGAGCAGTGAGCAGTGCTACCGCTTTGGGAGCGGCCTGGACAGAAAGGAGGTGTGCTGGGTCGCCTCCTGGGCCGGCCAGCCCACCCCTCATGCCTGTCTCATCTCTGCTCAGGTTCACTTTATTATAAGGCCTTTTCTGACTGTCCTGCAGAGAGAATGTAGAAATCCTTCTCCCCTTAGCTCTTATCATCACCTGACATTATTTTTTACCTGAATTAAAATATAAGTTCCAAGAAGTCGAGATGTTGTTTTGTTCACTGCTCTACCCCAACACCTGGGGCAGTTCCGGGCTCTGATAGTAGATACTGAACAAATACTCGATTGAGTGGATGACCCAGCATGTGGGTAAGGACCCTGCGTTACCTCGTTTATGAAATAAACACTTGGAAATGTTGTAAAACAAAGACTGCTCTGTTGAATTGAGCTGTAAGAACAGACATCTCTCGAGGCAGGAACCAACCGATGCTGGGCACTGGCGGCTGGGTGGACATCGGGCTTCCTACGAAAAGGTTTCTGAGCGGGGGGCGTGGAGGATGGCACGTGCGCTAGGCGCGCTTAGACAGTGGAGACGGTCATTCTCCTGGAGCTTATTTCTTCCTCATTCTTGAATGAGGAAATATTTTCTCATTTATTTGAAGAGAATTATTTTTCTTGAAAAATGTGTGAATGTTTTTGTCAGAACTGCATTGTGCTAATCTCATCTGCTCTTGTCGTGACAGGAGGCTGAACAGCACCCAGGGGGAGATCCGCGTTGGTCCCAGCCACCAGGTAAAGCAAATCTAGTGACTTCTTTTATAGGGTTTTAGAGGGTTTAATTTGTTTTCCTCCTGGCTCCTCTGGAACTTGAGTAGCAAGTTAGAACTATTGTTGCCGCTCCAGGGACCTTTATGTGAATGCAAAGGTTCCCCCAGTTTCACTGGTGAGACACACTTTCCACTGGAACCATTCTTTTTTTTTTTTAAGATTTATTTATTTATACAAGCACTGGGTACAGTCAGAAGCACGGGAGGGTGAGAGAATTCACCAGAGCCAGAGCGGGGAACAGGACAGGCAGACCGACGAAGTACACTGCTGAGGGGAGCAGCAGGCGGCAGGAGAGGTCTGCGCGCCATGTGGGACCCTCGCTGGTGGCCGGGGATCGAACCGGCACTGCAGAGGCTGCGGGCAGCTTCACAGTCCAGCGCTCAACCGCTGCGCCACCAGGGGAGGCCCTGGAACCATTCTTAAGTGTTTAGTGCAGTGGCGCCAAGAACATGCGCCCTGTTAGTTAGCCATTGCCTTTAGAACTTTCTCATGTCCCAAACTGAACCTGTGGCTGTTAAACACAAACAACCGTCAGGCCCGACCACAAACATTCTACCTCATGTCTCCTCAGAGTGGTGAAATCAGGCCTTATTTGTCCTTTGTGTCTGGCTTATTTACCATCATGTCTTCAGGATGCCCCTGTGTTGTAACATGTATTGGAATTTAATTTATTTTTATGACTAAATAGTCTATTGTATGCACATGCCACATTTTCTTTGTCCATTCATGTGTAAATGAATATTAGCCACCAAAACTGTACTTACAACCTTTAAAAAAAATACCCCTTTCCTTCGGAAACAGCACGATGGTGTCGGTTGGAAGCTTGGGTGTGGTGACCTTGTCGGCTTCTTCACCTCTACGTTGGTTAGGATATGGGCAGTTCCATGAGTCTGGTCGTGCATGGCTGGCCACACGCTCACACGCCATCCTGGTCAGAGAGGAGCCGTGTCCACTGGCCGCTCCCCCCTCCACGGCTGGCTTCTTCCTCAGGCTGGTGACCAACTCACTGGTTCTTCTCTCATATTTTATTGTCCCTAGCATTGGGCTTCATTGTGTGCTCTGTGATGTGATTATCATTTAATCGGGAGCATTTCTTCTGAAAGCACAAGAGAATATGGTGGGTGGTGCAGTGAGGAACTCCAGAGTATCTCGAGAGGAGAAAGGATCAGCTTCCTTTTCCCCTTAGAAACAGGGATAGCTCTCCCAGCAGGTGTCTGAATCCCTAGGTTGGGCCATGTGTCCATTTCTAACCCGCAGGAGGGTGGTTTGAGCAGAGAGCGTAGACTCGTTGGGGCTGGAACAGTGTGGGCATCAGCTGCCGCGGCTGCCGGCAGCTAGGACCCGAAATACAGTGCCCGAGCTCTCCTGACGGTGGGGGATTCTAGCCGCCTGTCACGGTGTAGTGAATCGCTGTGCCTGTAGGTTCTTGTAATGTTTCCAACATGTCCCTGGGCTGTTTCCCCAGAAGGGACAGAGGTGACTGACCTAGAGGGCACGTGCCCATGTAATCCAGGGCTGTCACAGGATGGCCCTCCACAGAGTCTGTACCATTTTGCATCCATGCTAGCAACTCACACAAGTGCTCCTTCACTCCCTCCCACCGCCGCCTGCTTTTAATGTCATAGCCTTGTATATTGTCACACTTCGGATTTCATGTCAGTGTGATGGATGGGATGTAGTATCTCAGTGTCATTCATTCGCATTTCCCTTGTCAGCAAGGTTGATCGTCTTTTCCTGTGATTAAAAACCAGTTGCATTTCCTTTTCTGTAAACTGTAATTATATTTCTGGCCCATTTTGGGGGGGAGGGTGGGGTTTAGTTTCCTCCAGCGACAAGAGTATTTTTTATATGAATTTAACAAGCATCCCCTGGAGAGCTGCTGTGCCAGCTACTGCCCTTGGTGCTGGAGAGGCAAAGCTGAGTTCTAATGTCACAGACCTCTTGATGGAAGTAGCTGTTGTGTTTTAGTTCTGCTCCATGCACCCAGTGTGTGATGAACAGAACTAACTGTGATGCCCAATTAGAAGTTATGAAAGTACCTACTGGGCCAAGGGAGGCGTCCTCGTGGAGGAGTCTGCTGCACAGCACTGGGGCCTCTGGAGCCAAGCAGGGGAAGGTGTGTGTGTTCCCCACACAGATGTTTAAAAAATGTGAATAGCCAACATTTAAAACCAACATTCACGTAAAATACTAAGTTTCTAGACTTTGGAAATCATCTGAATAACGTATCGATCCTGGCTGGCTGTGGGCAGGCTCCCCCACCCCACACCCGCATCCCCATGGGCAGCGCTCTCCCCCCACTCATGGTGCCTCCTGCCTGCGAGGTGCTGGGGAGCACTGGTGCCTGTCGCTGGCCAGTCCACACTGGGTGTGGTGCTTGGTGCCTTTTTTTTTTTTTTTTTTTAAAAACAACTACTAGGATATTTAAAATGAAATCTGCAGCGCTCGTTCTGTTCCTGCTGGACACTGCTGCCTTCTGCCCTGCCTGCTGCATTCATTTCAAGTTTTTGCTGGGTTCTGTGGACATTGGAGCTTTTTAACTGCAGCTCTTAGAATAGGTTTCTAGACTAATGGTCCATGTCCATTGTTTTAGAAAATAGACCATGTACGTCTTGCAGATGGGGACTTCTCCTGGGTCTCCCGAGCCTGCTGCCTCCTGCTCTGCCCCAGCAGATTCAGCACCAGTTGAGCAGGAGGCGCCGGTGCTGCTAATGCCGAGGTGACTCAGAATTGTGGTGGTTGAGCCGGTGATTCAAATAGTTTTTCATTCTTTTTATTCCTGTGGTTCACTGTGGGGACAGTGAACTGACTGTCTTACGTGGACTCTCCAGCCGCAGTGCTGCACAGCGGGCGTCGGGTGTCTCAGGACCCCCTTCCTGCTCTTTCCGGAGCGCCCTCCCCTGAGACCGCTGCTCATCCCGTGTCTGGAGCCTTCACTTACTCAGCTGTGTTTTTTAGGTTCAATTCCATTTTTTTTGTCTTTTTTAGAAAAAAAGATTTATTTATTTATTTATTTATTTATTTATTTATTTATTTATTTATTTATACATACAAGCACTGGGTACAGTCAGAAGCACGGGAGGGTGAGAGAATTCACCAGAGTCAGAATGGAGAGTAGAACAGGCAGAGTGACGAAGTACACTGCTGAGGGGAGCAGCGGGCGGCAGGAGAGGTCTGTCTCACCATGTGGGACCTTCGCCGGCGGCCGGGGATGGAACCGGCGCTGTAGAGGCTGCGGGCAGCTTCACAGCCCAGCGCTCAACCACTGTGCCACCAGGGGAGGCCCTTTTTTTTTTTTTTTTTTTTTTTTTTTTTGGGGGGGGGGGGTCTATTTTTGATGTTGACCATGTCTCAGCGACTGACTTTCTTGAGAGTAGCATTAGTTTAGCTGAATAGTTCGTTTAATTTTCAGCAAAAATCCTTTGAGGTGTCATTATTTGTCTATGTGTCTCTGTTATTTTGGAAGTGTGTGTTTTTCTCTTCTTGATCAAGGAGCCCTTGGAGTGTTTTTGGCTTTTCGTTTCTTTTATTCATGTGTCCATTTCTGTTTCACTCTGGATCTTGCTGGTCTGGGGTCATGGACACTGTTTGCTGCTGCTGAGGCTGAGCGGCCCCTGTGGGGCGTTCATGGGAGGTGGTCCTCACGTGTCCTCACGTGTGCGCAGGCTGGTGTAGTCACGCGCAGATTGCTCTTTTTTGTTACTGCCTGAAGAGCAAGGTGTAGTGACCTACCATGACTGTTTCCCAGGTCTGCCCTCTGAAGTGGCTTTTTAAATTGTGACTTCTTCATCCCTGTCTTACAGGCCAAACTTCCCGATTTGCAACCATTTCCTTCTCCAGATGGTGACACTGTGACCCAACATGAGGAGCTGGTCTGGATGCCTGGAGTGAATGACTGTGACCTCCTCATGTACTTGAGGGCAGCAAGGTAATAGGACCACCCCATCCTGCTCTCTGAGTTAGGGCATCTGGTTTGAGGAGTGGGTGACGCAGTTCTTCCCGCGGAGTTGAGTTAATGTCGCCCATTCTCTGTTTTCTTATTACCTCTGGCATCAGAAGTCTGATCCTTCTTACTTGAGAAAAATAGTTTACCACAGTGAAGTCTTTTTTTCCTCCTTGATGTTTTAGAATTCTTGATATTTTAGAATTCTTCAGAAGGAAAACTTCGTATGCCTGGTTTCCAACATTCTTAATCTAGTTGGCTATTTGGACCTTGTAGCCCATCTGAGAAGCCACTGCAGATTCCTCGACGTTCAGCCGCCCATTGGTGCCTGTCCTAAATGGACATTTCTGCAGCTTGCCTGCAGTAGAGTTGGCTGCTCTACAAGTGCCTAACTACAAAGAGAAGTTTAAATCTGTCCCTGCCCCGCATTAGTGCAGACAGATGGTCTTCCCTTTTATCTGCTGTGATTTGGGGGCTCACACACTGCTTTGTCAACAGTATACAACAAAAGCAACAAAACCAGACCAAGCAACTGGCTTTTAGCACCGGCTACTTTGTGGTAGCGTGTGGCGTGGTGCCCTGCATTAGAGATGCCAGGGCTCTGGTGGAGGCAAGACCTCCTTGCCTGAACGTGCTTGATGGACAGCATGGCAGCAAAGAAGTAAAGTCTCAGAGCATTTATTATCATTTTGTTTTCTGGAGACTGTTCTTTCAAAATATTGTAATCTAGCCGACAATTGTGGCGTGCAGACTGAGACCCCTCACGCCCTAGGAATTGAAATCTAGGTACCAATAAAGCAGGGCGAGAAATAAGACAGATGGATCTCAATTAAAGTAACATTTCTGTTTCCGAGGGCGCAAAGTGTGATCTGTAGAGTAACTTAAAAAATATTTCCCTTTTTTTTTTTTCAAGATTGTTTATTTATGCATACAAGAACTGGGGTACAGGCCAGAGGTGTGGTGGGTGAAAGGATTCACCAGAGACAGAGGGGGGAGCAGAACAGGCAGATTTACTGAAATACACTGCTGAGGGGAGCAGTGGGTGAGTCAGGAGAGGTCTGCTGCTCCATGTAGGCTGCTTCCTGGCTGGCCAGGGATCGAACTCGTGCTGCAGAGGCTGTGGATTGCTTCATAGTGTGGTGCTTAACCCCTTGCGCCACCAGGGAGGCCCAATATTTTCTTTTTTTATAGGAAATAGGACTAAGAACTCTGCCTTGTATGTATGTAATGGAATTTGCACTAGCCTGAAAATATGCCCTGCATCCAGGGTGAAACCCAGTTCTTTCCCTTCTTTTCCCAAGGAGCATGGCGGCCTTTGCAGGGATGTGTGACGGAGGCTCCACCGAGGATGGCTGTGTTGCAGCGTCTCGAGATGATACCACCCTCAATGCTCTGAACACAGTGAGTCTTCTGAACCCACCCTGGGGACTGGGGAGAGGGTCTTTCTCCCTGTGCTGACTGTAGGCACTGTGTGATGAGGATGCAAATGAAGTAGCCTGGAATCATAGGATAAGTGGCCTGGTGTCGTGCTGGGTTGGAAAATGAGGTGTGGCCTTGGACCATGACTCAACCGCTCTAGATCCATTTCCTTGTCTGTGCCTGTGTCCATGGCTGAGAAGCCTCGAGGGGCTCGTCTTTCTTGAGATCTCACCAAAGCTGAGTCCTGTGCACATGTGACCTGGCTCAGCCTCCCAGCACCCCTGTGGGGGTTTTTGCTGTTGGCATCACTGTAAACACCGGGGAATAAATTGAGTGATGAAGTCATAACCCAAGCTTATACACTCAAGACTTAAATCCAGAGCCTCGCTTTTTCACCTTTTCCCTATGTCTGAATCTGTGTGTCAGAAGTGCACAGAGGGGACAGGGAAGACACTGGCCTTCTCCGAGCAAAAAAAGTTTATATGGATTTCATGTTAGGACCATGTAATATTTCACATGATTATAAAACAAAATTTAGGTTTAAAAATGAACGATCCTTAAAACTTTCTAAAGTAAAATTTGACAGGTTAGCCTCATGGTGCACAGGGACTGCTTTGCTTCCTCCATGACTCGTCAGCTACTCCAGCCCCAGCACACACAGCAGTGCAGTGGGGCACAGGCCCTCTGCTACAGACGCTGTGCCTGTGGGACCAGTTTCCTTTCCTGGACCCCTCTTTTTGACCATAGAATCTATCCTTTAGGTTGCAAAGGAAAATTATTGTGTTTTAAAGTTACTTGAAATAATTCTTCTGTGGTTATTAACATAAAATTATCAAAATGAAGAAGTAATGAATTTTTATGCATAGCTGATGAGTTAATAAAGAGCTGCTTGGTTATCTGTATCTTTATACGATCCTGAGCATGATGCTGAGCAACTCTCCTGGGGATTAACTAAATGTAATTTAAACACTTTTATTTCTTTAGAAGTCATTGTAGCTGGAAGGAACTTTCAGGATCATCTGTTCCAATCTCTAAATAGATAAGAATGTAAGACTCAGAAGAGCCAGGTGACTTGTGCAATGCTAGTAATTCAGAAAGTGTGTAACAGAGTAGATAATATCCTAGGTTCCCAACTTAGGCATCTTCCTACTATACAGCTTGCTTTCAAGGAAACAAGTAGATAGCTGAATGATATGGCTGATTTTGGTTGCTGGTCTAATTGTGCTGCTTGGGTATTAGGTAAGGTTTTAACAGTCTCTGTGTAGGAGGTTCAGACATCCTGCTTGAACCTGGTGTGTTCTACATAACTAAACAAATGATTTTGAAAGTGAAATAAAAAAGCAATTTTATTAACAGTATAATCTTCAAAGAATTACTTAGGGGTAAGTTTAGCAAAATGTGAAGAAGAGCTATACACTAAACTACAAAATCCCACTTAAAAAATTAATGAAACTTTTTAAAAAAGATTTATTGTATTTATGCATACAAGAACTGGGGTATAGGCCAGAGGTGCAGGGGGGTGAAAGGATTCACCACAGACAGAGCTGCAGTATTGTTAAAATGTCATTTCTTCCTAAATGGACCCATAGATTCAATTCTATTCCAATCAAAATTCCACCAGACTTTTTTTAAAAATAGAAACTGGTAAGCAGATTCTAGATTTTATATGGAAGTGTACATGAGTTAAAAAGGTAGATACTAGATCAGCAAAACAGAATAGAATCCAGAAAAGGACCCAATCATATGCACGCAGTTGATGTTCAGTGAAAGCGTCAGAGTAATTAAATGAGAAAAGCAGTTTGTTGTTTTAACAAATGTTCCTCTAAAAACTGGCATCTGTGTGGAAAAGAATGATCTTTCCCCTCCTACCTCCCAACACACAAAATGAATTCAGGATGAATCATAGACCTAAATGTAAGAACTAAAGAATAAAGCATGGAAACAATCTCTGTAATCTTGGGATGATCAAAGATACTTTTGTAAAAGCAAAGTAATACATTGGGCTTTATTAAAATTAACTATTTGCTCTTTGAAAGATTCCTTTACACAAAAAGTCATTATAGAAGAAATTTTTCACAGATTATATCAAAGGACTTTCTTTTTTTTTTTTTTTTAAGATTTTTTTTTTTAATAGAGGCATGTTTTTCTTTATTTATTTGTTTGCTTGTTTGTTTTGTTTACACAAGCACTGGGTATAGTCAGAAGCGCAGGAGGGTGAGAGAATTCACCAGAGCCAGAGCGAGGGGCAGAGCAGGCAGAAGGACCGAAGTACACTGCTGAGGGGAGCAGCGGGCAGCAGGAGAGGTCTGCGTGCCATGTGGGACCCTCCTCTGGTGGCCGGGGAGCAGCTGGGGATTGAACCGGCACCGCAGAGGCCGCGGGCAGCTTCGCAACCCAGCGCTCTACCGCTGCACCACCGGGGAGGCCCAAAGGACTTTCACAGATTATATCTGCACTGCAAAAGGAACTCTTACAACTAAATTTTACTAAGGGAGAAATAACTTGATTTTTTAAATGGACAAAAAGATGTGAAATGATCCTCAACAATATAGTCAGGAAATCTGAATTAAGACCTCAGTGGGATATCACTGCACACCCCCTAGAGTGGCTGAAATTAAAAAATCTGACATCAAGTCTTGAAATGTTGAAGAGCTGGCACTCTTACTCACTGCTGATGGGTGTGTGAAATGATAAGCCCGCCTTGGAAACCCCTTGACCTTGTGTCCCTTCCACATTGCTAAATTCTGGTAGCTTTCTCACTAGGCACTAGGATTTTCACTATGTGCATAATCATTCATCCTCAAATGGAGGCAGTTTTACTTCTTCCTTTCTGGTTTATGTCTTTTATTTCTTTTTCATGCTTTATTGCACTTGTTTGGACTTCCAGTATAATATTGAATGTGTTACAGGACAGGGAGAGGAACACCCCAGAATCCCCAAACCTGCCTGCTCCAAATAGGTTCTGCCATCTGCTGCATCAAGACAAAACATAGAGACCTTTAATGGAAAGGAACTTTAATACAATTAGTGTGCAATACAGAAAAGACTAAGAATATAGTTTTCAAATCAAGCACCCAAAGTTACCCATCCCCTTGTGGGTAAAAGTCCAAATGGGATTGGCCCATAGCAAGGCCTGCGTACCTGCCACAAATCTAAAGCACTTTTCGGGGGTGGGGATCCATAAAAAGGGGTCAAAACGGTCAGATTGTTAGGGGAAAAAGGATGTCCAAGAGCTAATTCCATATAGGCTTTGTGGACTCCAGCCCCACCCCAGGCCAAAGCCAAAGACACTGGGAACTCCAAATCCCATCACCACCCAAAGGAAGGTGGCTGGGACCTGAGGGTGGGGTTAAGCAGCCAGGTTGGTATAAAGCCAGACACGTGGGCTTTGGAGGGGTCCCCCATTTTGACTCCCCGCCAGCTCGCAGCGTCCGGCCAGCTCGGAGAGTGCTTTTTGGGTTTCCAGGTCGGCGGATCGGGTAGGACGCATTAAAGACTTTATTTCCCTATTTCCCTATTTCTCCTGAGTTGTACATTTTCCTTATTTCCTTTTCCCTTGTAAATAAACCTTTTGTGAACCTTTTGTGGGTGCCGGTAGTGGAGTATTCATAAGTCCCTTGTAAGCGCGCGGGTGAGAACCCACAGCCAGGCAACCCGTTCAATATCAGGGCTGCCCTATAACAAGATGAGGGCCTCCCTGGTGGTGCAAGGGGTTAAGAAGCAACCTGTGAAGCTATCTGCAGCCTCTACAGCACAAGTTTGATCCCCAGCCAGGGAGCAACCCACATGGTGCAGATCTCTCCTGACTCACCCGCTGCTCCCCTCGGTCAGTCCACCTGTTCTGTTCCCCACTCTGTCTCTGGTGAATCCTTTCACCACCACCACCACCCCCCCCCACACACACACACCCCGCTCTGACTGGTACCCCAGCTCTTGTATGGACAAATAAATAAGTCTTAAAAAACAAACAAACAAACAAATAAATAAATAAAACAGTCAAGTCTGTGAGGAAAAGAGCAAAATCAAAGTCAAGATAAAAGCTGTCATTGTCAACCTGCCCATGGGTCTCTCACCCACATCAGTGTCACCCAGTCCAGGACCTTCAAGAAGCAAGTACAGTTTCTTCACATGTCTCTGCTCCACGTGCCTCCTCCAGGTCTCCTCCTGGCTCCATCCTGCTTCCTTCCTTCTTTCTTCAGTCTCCTCTGCAGCTTTTTCTCCTCACTGCTCAGCTCCACCCTCCTTTGGGTGGGGACAGGGAACCTGGAATCTCCCCTTTTACTGGAGAGATTACACCCTGTTACAACTGCCGAAGACTAATGGACATCTTGATTTCTCATCATACAGAGAAAACATGTAGTTACTCACTGTTAAATATAATGCATTGATAGGGCTTTTGTTGTCTTTTTCTTTATTTAGAATGTTCCTTTTTAGATCTATGTTTGCTGAGGAGGTTTTATCATGAATGGACATTGAATTTTGTGAGATGTCCTTTCATAACGATAATAAGAGGATCATACGGTAATACAGTGGTTAATATACAGTGAATTGCGTGATTAATTTCAAATGTTAACACAGCCAAGGTTTCCCAGGATAAATCTTGCTTGGACATGTTTTGTATTACTGGATGCAGTGGACTAATTCTTTGTTAGGAATCTCGTGGGGGATATTGAGCCGCTCTCTTCTTTCTTTGGTTTTCATCCTGGCTTCTGGTTTTGATATCAGTAATACTGACTACAAAATATTAGTTGGGAAATATTTCCTCCTATTCTCTTGATTTTATTAAATATTGATATTTCTTTCTTTGTTACATGCTTGATACAATTTATTGTGAAGCCATCTGGAACTCAGTTTCTTTTTATGGGATGTTAAAATGACAAGTGCAGGTCTGTTCAGATATTTTTTTTTAAAGATTTATTTATTTATGCATACAAGGTCTGGGGTACAGGCCAGAGGTGCGGGATGGGGGTGAGAGGATTCAC